AAGAGAAAGAAATCCCCACAAAATAAATAGATCCACAAAAAAAAAATAGGTCATAATTTGAGGATTTTCAAAAGTCTTTATCAATTGATCCATGCCATTTTAAAAGATATAGCAATACTACACTAATTATGTGATGGCACAGGTAGAAAAAGAATGCAAATTATAGTCTATTTTACATGTAGTTTACTATTTTTTAAATGTACAAGGTTGTTAAAATAATTCAATAAGTCTAATTTGGAATTAACAGTATAATTTATAGCACAAAACTCCTATTTTTAGTTTTAAAACTAACTCTAGGGGTGCCTGGGTGGTTCAGGTGGTTAAGCGTCTGACTTTGGCTGAGGTCATGATCTTGGCCTGGGACTGACTGGCATGGGCCCTGGGTCAGGTTCTAGCAGGAAGCCTGCTTCTCCCTCTCCTTTCCCTCTGCCCCTCCTCTACTGATGCTCTTTCTGTCTCTCTCAAATAAATAAATACATTCTTTAAAAAAATGCTAACTCTAACAATTAGATAGCAAGCTATATCTGATAGGAATGACAATGAAAAGGTAAACGAATAACTTTGACATTGACAAAAATGAATTCGTGATTTTCTTTTACTAATATTAAACAAAGATGTTGAGTTTTGTAAATTGTTTCCAAATTCCTGGCATTAAGATATCTGGCATTTCAAAGTACCCATATGCTCAATTAAATGCTACCAAGAAGTTAATATTTATATCTTTCTTTTGTGATAAGACTGGCAGGGACTTTTCATAGGGAGAGAAGTAGTCACTTACTTAGTAGTCACTTACTTTTTTAGGCTCAGGGAATATTAAAAAGAGAGACTACATCAGTATATTAGAGCACAGTCATGTCCCTGGCTTCAGCTCTGACATGTAATTAGCATAGTGACTCCATCCTTGCAACAACGACAAAAATTGAGCTGGAAGTCAACAACTCTTAAGCTTATTAGCAAAAGGAGGTCACAGGGCAGACTGCAGCCCCTAGAACTGGAGAGGCAGAGTACAAAGATCTTAAACTGGTAGGAACAATTAAATGGTAACTAGTGAAATGCTGGAGGCTGAGTGTGGATTAGTTTAACAGTTAAAAACTCCAGGGGGCCTAGTCTTAGGGAGCCTCCATGCTTTCATGAGCTTTACTTCTGGGAGTCTCACCAGCTTATCATGGTGAAGAATGAATGGAGAAAAATCTCCTTGAACTTCAAGCAGAGGGAAGGGGGGTAAATAACCATTTAAAAATAAACCTAGAGGTGCACTGGGGTGGCTCAGTCAGTTAAGCATCTACCCTTAGCTCAGGTCATGATCCTAGGGTCCTGGGATTGAGCCCTGCATTAGGCTCCCTGCTGGCTGGGGAATCTTCTTCTCCCTCTGCTCATCCCCCTTATTTGTGCTCTCTCTCTCAAATAAATAAAATCTTAAAAAAAATAAAATAAGATAAAAATCAACCTTTCTCCACCACAAAGTCTTACTCACTATGGAAAAAAATATTGTCAGAGACTTATCTAACCTTTCTGTCTCATAAATGGGGAGAAGGGAAGACAAAAGAGGAGATAAAACGAGGACATTAGAGAAAATTGACGTCTGTGACACTACAGCACATAATATCCCAAACTGAAAACACTAAATGCTGGTGATAATGTGGGTCAGTGACAACTTTTATTCACTGCTGGTGAGAATGCAAAATAGCACAGCCATTTGGCAGTTCCTTACAAAGCTAAACATAGTCTTACCGTATGATCCAGCAATAGATTTCCTAATTATTTACCCAAATGAGGTAAAAACTTATGTCCACACAAAAGCCTGCACTTTAATGTAAATACCAGATTTGTTCATAATTGCAAACATTGGAAACAGCCAAGATGTCCTTCAATAGGTGAAGGGATAAACTGTGGTTTATTCAGACAACTGGATAATATTGATCAGTAAAAAGAAATTAGCTATCAAGTCACCAAAAGACATAGAAGAACCTTGAATGTATATTGCTAAGTCAAAGAAGCCAGTCTGAAAAGGCTACATAACTGTTTGACTCCAACTCTATGATGTTCTGGAAAAGACAAAATTACAGAGAAGGTAAAAAAATCAGTGGTTACCATAAGTTCAGGGGAGGAGAGGCAGGATTGGTAGGGAAAGCCCAAGAATTTTTAGGGGGTTGAAACTATTCCAAATAATACCATAATGGTGGGCAAGGGACATCATGCATTTGTCAATACCCATTGAACTTTACTATACAAAAAAGTAAACCTTAATGTAAACTATGGACTTTATTTAATACTAAAGTATCAATAATGGTTCATCAATTCTAACAAATGTACCACACTAATGCCAGGTGTTAATAAGTAGGGGAAACTCTACAGGGGAGAAGAGATACAGCAGACCTCTCTGTATTTTCTGATCAATTTCTTTGTAAACCTAAAACTGTCCTAAAAGATAAAGTCTGTTAACAATAATAGTTTTTAAAAAGTCACACTTCCACTCATCTTTTCATAATTAATATTGAAATCTTGTCAGTTATAAAACAGACCCTCAAATTTGACCCAAAACAAATAAGTATGTAATACAGAAGGAGAAGAAAAAGCTCAATGGTCACAAACAGGGAACCACTGTTGTGTTGGGAACATTTTGTCTCACAAATATACTGATCTCACATTTGTTTTCAGGGTTTTGGAGAATGACAGTGGTATGATATCAATTCTTCCCAAATTCTGAGTCCAGATAAACATTTTTGGGGGGCAGCCCCGGTGGCTCAGCGGTTTAGCGCCGCCTTCAGCCCAGGGCCTGATCCTGGAGACCCGGGATTGAGTCCCACGTCAGCTCCCTGCATGGAGCCTGCTTCTCCCTCTGCCTGTGTCTCTGCCTCTCTCTTTCTCTCTCTCTCTCTCTTTCATTAATAAATAAATAAAATCTTAAAAAAACCATTTTTTAAAATAGATGCTTATATGGGTTTTGTTTTGTTTCTCCTAGAATAAGTATACAAAGCAGGAAAGTTCAGACCAAGGACTCAATCACTTAACTTCTGTACTCATTGTTCATGGGGAAGAATGAAGGTCAATTAAGGTGGCCATTTTGCCTACTGTTTTATTTTGACCAGCAAGTAAATCCTCATCATCTATAAGAATTTCTAAGGCTGACTGCTTTGGCCTTTGGAAGTTACCAACATCACATGATTTAGAAGCATTTGTAACATCCCTGCAGCTTATGGTTTACAAGTGAAAGATAAGAGACATGGCCTGAGGGTTAAACCTGTCAGGATAGCTTGTACTTGTATCCTGACTTTTTTTTTTTAAGTGTTTCATTTATTTATTCATGAGAGACACAGAGAGAGAGACAGACAGACAGAGAGAAAGAGACAGAGGCACAGGCAGAGGGAGAAGCAGGCTCCATGCAGGGAGCCAGATGTGGGACTCGATCCCGGGGTCTCCAGGATCACGCCCTGAGCCAAAGGCAGAAGTGTTTAACCCCTGAGCCACCCAGGCGTCCCTGACTTTTTGAATAAAAGATTATTTTGGGTAAACGATAAAGGAAATCTCAAGATCCTTATTATCAAAAAAAAAAAAAAAAAGGGGGAGCCCAGGTGGCCCAGCGGTTTAGTGCCTTTCTGTGTCTGTCATGAATACATAAATAAAACCTTTAATAATAATAATAATAATAGTAAGTTAAGGTTTGCAACAGGGTTAAAAATGATAATCTATATATTAAATGTGTATATCTCATAATTAATTTTTGAATGATTAAATGTTTTAACACACATTTTATTTAACTCAAAAAATAAAAAAAAATAATAAGATGGTCAACTACAGAAAACCAAATAACATAAGATCTAAATTCAAGCCTCTGATTACTCCGCTGTACTTTGATTTTTATATCATGAAAAGCCTCATGTCTCAAAAACCGCTCAACTGTTGTTTTTTACTTTTGGTAGGGCCAGATATTAGTGACCTCTATAACTAACAATTCTATTTGTTTAAACTTCTGCTGTCTTGAACACATCAGCCACTTTCATTCAGCTAATACGCATTCTGGGCTTAGCCTGCTCAGTGCCATGCAACATGCTAATTAGTGAGTAAAGAACCCTGTCCCTAAGTTACTGTACTACCAGGGAGCTGCACAAGTCAATTCTAATTACAGTGCAGTGGATTAAATGATAATGAGTTGAGTATAGGGTTTAAAGTTCAGTGAGAAGGATACTCAGTTCTGCAAGAGTCCTATCATTTCTTTCAAAGGAAGCGCCATTTCATTAAAGTTAAAAGACAAAAACAAGTCAGGTTTGGAGCTAACTGGATTGGAAGTATCGACGAGGGTTGAGAGGCGGGAGCAAGGGAGGATTTCCTCAGCTGAAGACAGGTGAGGCTCAGAAGCCTGAAAAAAAGAAAGGTGAAGGGTTCTTGGGCTCCACAAACCTTTAGATTTTTATTTTTTATATTCTCATATTTAAATTCAAATGGTGTCAGGGGTTAACTTTACATAGAAATTCCACACTGTCCCAATAAGCAAGTGACTGGGTGCAAAGAGAGGTGAGATTTTTTTTTTAAGATAATACTTCAAAGGTGAGTGATGTCTACATTCTTTCCTTAGCTGTCATCTGTTTTTGATTTTCAGGGCAGCTTCAGAGCTAAAAGCAAAGATCTAAAGTAGGAGGAGTTTTCTAGTGGACTTGTTAGGACACAACCAAGCACTACAAAGCCTTCTTTGACAGCTCTCAGTAAACTGAGCTACGTCTCTTGATCCAGGGTCCTCACGGCCCTCCTGTTTTTTCTCTGTCCTTTTCTTCCCTCCTCTCACTCTTCCAGGAAGTTTATTCTTTTGAAGATCAATCTCATTTCATTATTCTTCAGTGAGTAAATAAAGGACCTCCCCCCTTCCCAGCTCCCTTATGTTTTGCTCCAAACCACTTCTCCTTCATTTCCTCTTCATTTCCTCTCCCTCTCTCTCCTCAACCCACTGATAGCTATTGGCAAATTTAGGTATTTGATTTATGAGCCAGGAATGAAAAATAACAGCAGAGGTTTTTCACATTTCTGTATGAATGAGCATGACTCTGATTAAATGCATCAGCAGGTATGTATACATATTTGTGATACTCTGTTGCATCACAGACTCCAAAAAGCCAAGCCCCACAGTTTAATCCCCGCCTCCTTCTCTGGCATTAGGAATAAAAGCTCATCAGAAACATTCCAAATGCATAAGTGATGCATTTTGGTGGCCTAAAACCTGAGTGGAGATCGAAAAAAACTAAATTGGATCACCCAGTATTTTTTCCCAGGATCATCTGGACAGGTTGTATTTTTACTATTATTACTGATGTTAATATTTAGATTTTAGATATAGGAAATTTAGGAGCAAATTATACAAAATTGTTAAAAAAGAAAAAAGAGAGAATAAAGCCTTTACTAATACTTTAGTTACTTAATAATGTAAAGCATTTTGAATGCTTTTTAAATCATTTGTTTGTCATTAAGAATAAATCTTGCATTATATAGTGCTTTGTTGTTTAAGGAATTTTAACATAAAACTACAGTATCATAGTGACCCTGTAGGTTCTGCATGCTATATATATTCTCCATTTCACTAAGGAGGAAATAGAGCAAGTAGGGTAGAAATAGTTGAAGATAAAGCACAGTTTTAACAATTTTTTTTTCAGGTTGGTATTTCTAGACAACAGTAATCTTTATACTCAGGAAAATAAACTGACAATTTCTAACTGAAATACATCCTTTGATAAAGAAGAGAGAAGCTAGAGACTTTTATTTTTTATATTCTCATATTTAAATTCAAATGGTGTCAGGAGTTAACTTTACAAAGAAATTCTATACTGCCCCATTAAGCATGTGACTGGGTGCAGAGAGATTTTTAAGATAATAATTCAAAGGTGATGTCTACATTCTCACATGTATGGAGGATGAGTCCATACATTGTGATAATTTACCAACAGACCTTAATAAGAAAAGAGATTTTATTATGTGCCACTCAGTTTAACTCTGAGACCAAAATAGAAGGGGCAGCCAGAAGTCAGCCAAGTGCCGAGTGATAAATCAGCTACTCCCAACTGACTGTAAGCCAGTTTTTGCTAAGTTGGCAGAAGACCAAGAAAATTGTTCACATGAATAAACAAATCAATAGGCTGGGCAAGTAACACCTGTTATACACTTTCTTCTGGTGAAAGATTTCTATTTTCTGAGAGCAAGGCAGATTTAGGGAACAAGCCGATTTATTAATAAGCCTAATTTCTAATCAAAATCTCATAATTTTGGTGAGAGTACATATAACATACCTGAGAGGGAGGTCTTGAAAGAGTTGAGCCTGCCATTAGGGACTGGGATTTTTTTCATGTTTAGTAAGAACATGCAGGACTAGTGTTGTTCTGGGTTCCAAAACATATGGTGAGCCATTCTGTAGTCAAAAACAAACAAGCAAATGAGAAACTCCTTCATTGTGTCTCTTTTCTGGTGTGTAATCTGAGGCCAAAGTGAAATAAATATCATATTGGGTTGTCCCAAAGTCTTTTAGAGAAACAAACAAATAGAAATCACGTGTAAAAATCATGTTGGACATTTATAGATTTTATTCTCTCAGGTGAGAAAACAGATTACTGATTATGTTTCTTCAGATAATTTTATATTTATGAAATATATTCTTGGGAATTTTGACCACACATATTTCCCCTGCTTAGAGGGGAGACATTACCATGTAATGTGTAGTGTTTCTGAAAAGGTCCTAAGTATCTGGCTTCTTATCATGAGCATGCTGTGGATTTCAAGATTTCAAACTCAATGACATTTCTACTATGTGATTAATCTGGCTTTTTATAGCATACAGAGAAGAACATAAGAAAAGCCACACAACAAACAAGATAACAGAATGGTGAAGCACCTGGGTAACAGTCTGTTGAGTGTCTGACTCTTGATTTCAGCTCGGGTCATGATCTCAGGATCATGAGATTGAGTCCTACATGGAGTTCCTCACTAAGTATGGAACCTGCTGGGGATTCTCTCTCTCCCTCTTCTTCTGTCCCCTCTCCCCCACCACCACTTATTCTTTCTCTCTCTTAACAAAAAAAAAAAAAAAAAAAAAAAAAAAAAAAGACAATAGAAGGGTGTAGGAAGTTAGTGAACCAATCTGAAGTCTGTGGGTTAGCATTTGAGACAAGGCCTTGGTCCAGTTCGGGTCAGTTCTCTGCTTCTTATGCTCAAGCAGTGAAGGATCTGAGTTCTGTTCAGAAAGCAAGTGGGCAAGAGCCTTGGATGGCAGCTGTCTTTTTAAAGTGGTCAGACATAGAGGGGGTTGTGTCTGAAGAGTCTGACAGCTTGTTGCCAAAATCCTCCCCTTTTTGAAGGGATTTAATCGGTCTCTGATCCCTGCAGATGTCCTCTGGTTCTGCTTGTTATCAGTTCAATTGATGCTGGTCCCAGTGATATGTCCTAGCTGTAGTACCTTTAATTGCTTGCATCATTACTTGACATGAGAGACTCCATCCATCTTGCTCTACACACTTCTATATATTACCATATGGATTTGGCATAATAACAATATAAGCTCATACTTATTAAACGTTTATAATGAGAATTTATAATTCCTTTTAACTGTTTCAGGTAAGTATTATAATTTTTATTATCCTTGACTTGTAGTTCAGAAAATGGAGCACAGTTGAGCTGAAGTAATTTGCCAAGATAATACAATTTCAAATAGCAGAGCTAGGATTTAAACAAGATGGTCTACTTCAGGGCCCACACTCTTATTCTTCAAAAAAAAATTCTTTTTTTTAATTTATTTATTTGAAATATATATAGAGAGAGAGCACAGAGGGAGAGGAAGAAGCAGATTCTATGCTAAGCAGAGAGCCCAACACAGGGCTTGATCCCAGGATCCTGAGATCATGATCTGAGCTAAGGCAGATGCTTAACCAACTGAGCCACTCAGGCACTCCCATGACCCACACTCTTAGTAACTATATTCTATTCTCTGTTATGTTCACATTAGCCATCTAAATTAATATGATTATATAAACTTTTAACATATATATATTTCTCATTGTATGAGCACATTTAAATATTTAGGCAACCATATCAACCATATCAACCATACCAACCATGGCAAAAATTTGACACATTTGATTATATGAACAATAGACTTCTATGCAACACTATTAAAATAATTTATTAAGACAGCTTAAAGATTACTGGCATATAAGACAGAAATACCACACATATTTTCAATATAAAATCAACAATAAACTACTTGCTATGAAACAGTTAAGAAAAAACAACAATATTGATGGGCAAAATGGATCAAAATAATAAAATAACCAATAAACTTATAAAAGATGAAAACATGAAAAATTATAAAATATCCCTGAAACACGGTTTTCCAATGATGGTGAGAATGTGAAAAGACTGGCAATTTCATATAGTGTGCAAACTGGTATAATTTTAGTCATTAAAAAAAAGTTTAATAATGTTTTATACGGGCATACCCTTTTTTTTTTTTTGTAATTCCATTGTCACTGCAAAGATAAGTGTGAAAGGAAATATACTCAAAGAGATGAATTACAGTACTATTTATATCTAAACAAAATTTGGGAAAAACAGGAATTTCCATTAGTAAAAAATTGTGTCATCTATGCTACACCCATACTAGGGACTGCTAGGTGTCATTTATAAGAATAAAGAGAATTTATGTATTAACATTTCACATTATATAGTGAAAAAATAGAGCACAAAAAGAATGTAAAATATAATACAAATTAAGTTAGATATGTAAATGTGTAGGTTAGTATCCAAACTCCACAAGGAGTTAACAAGCTCAACACCCAAAATACAAATACCCAGTTAAGCAATGGGTAGAAAACATGAATAGACACTTTTCCAAAGAATACATCCAGATGGCTAACAGACACATGAAAAGATGCTTAATATTACTTAGGGGACTACAAATCAAAACCACAAGGAGATACCATCTCACACCTGTCAAAATGGCTAAAATTAACAGCACTAGAAACAACAGTTGTTAGCAAGGATGCAGAGAAAGGGGAACCGTCTTATACTGTTGGTGGGAATGCAAACTGGTGCAGCCACTCTAGAGAACAGCATGGAGATTCCTTAAAATGTTAAACATAGAACTATTCTACAACCCAGTAAGGTGTTTACCCAAAGGATACAAAAATACAAATTCAAAGAAATATATCCACCCTGATGTTTATAGCAGCATTATTGGCAATAGTCAAAGAATGGAGAGGGCTCAAGTGTCCATGGACTGATGAATGGATAAAGAAAATGTGAGATAGATGATAGATAGATGATAGATAGATAGATAATAGATATAGATATATAATGGAATATTACTCAGCCATCAAAAGAATGAAACATCATGGATGAAGGTACAGTATATTATGTTAAGTGAAATAAATCAGTCATAGAAAGATAAATACTGTATGATCTCACTCATATGTGGAATCTAAGAAAGAAAACAGATGAACATATGGGAAAGGGGAAAAGAAAAAAAAGGAGAGAGGGAAATAAACCATAAGAGACTCTTAATGATAGAGAACAAACTGAGGGTTGATGGAGAGTGGGTGGGGGATGGGCTAGATGGGTGATAGGTATTAAGGAGGGCACTTGTGATGATCAGTATTGAGGGTTGTACGTAAGTAATGAATCACAGAGTTCTACTCTAGAAACTAATATTGCACTGTATGTTAACAACCTAAAATTCAAATTTTAAAAAAATATATTTTTAAAAGAGTAAGTATGTGTCATTGTCATATCTCCAGAGCAAATCAAGGACATTTTGCCTCGAGGGTGTACTCAAGGGTATGGTTAAACAAAAGAAAAGAATGTGGGGAGGTGATGTGCTCAAGAAGGCTTCAGGTCACAGAGCAGTCATCATGGCAGATTTGTATTAATCCAGTTCACAAAGATGAGTAAAAAGGAGATCTAGAGAGGCTAATATCAAAGAAGGCTAAAATTCATTGAGACGCTATATTACAAACTCAGAATGAAGAAGAAAAGATAGTGAAAGAAGTTGAAAGTTAATGAAGGAAAGTTTGCTTAATTAAAAATCCTATGACCAGCCCTGAACATGAAAGGTGTTGTCATGGGAATTATCAGTGATAATCATCTTGTTTAACCTTATATATTTCAGATAAGTCATTCAATGGGAAAATCTACCACCTTAGTGATCAAGTGTGAGAGTAAGGTAAAGGTAATGTGAGAGGTCCCAGAGGAATCTACTATGGCTTCACGAATCCATGTCTTAGATATATCCATTTTGGTGTCATTAATTTCATCTTTTAAATACACTCATCAAGCATTTGAATCTTTTTGTTAAATGAAAAATATTCAGGAACTAAGGAAGCTATGACTCTGAGATCTGGCAGTAGCTATCAGTTCTGATCATCAATCTTTTATTGTTATTTGATGTATATATATTAATCAGGGTGATTATTTGCCAAAATTTTATTGTATTTTTGAACTTCTTAGTCTTTTTACATACACCATCGATTTTGACAAAGAAATGGAAGGCTCTGTTGTCTTTATTCATTATGGAATTCGCTATGCATATATTATGTATAAAAATAATTCAAAATGTTTATAGTATTTATTTGAGAGAGAGCATTAGTGGGGAGAAGGGAGGAGGGGAAGAGAGAAGCAGACTCCCCACTGAGCAGGACTTGATCTCAGGACCCCAGGATCATGACCTGAGTGGAAGGCAAAAGTTTAACCAAATGAGCCACCTAGGCATCACTAATGGTGTTTTTTTAGGTGCATGGAAGAGAGCATAGTATAATTATTAAAAATCTTGGGGATTATCCAAGGGTGCCTGTGTGGATCAGATTTTAAAATTTTTTGAAAAATAAATATAACACAAATGCTTCACATTATTTTTCATGTCGATTTTTTTAAGATTTATTTATTTTAGAGAAAGAGAGGGAGAGATGAGGGGTGGGCAGAGGGGGAGGAAGAGGGAATCCCAAGCAGACTCTGCATTGAGCATGTGGCACTTGTTCCAATGACCCTGAGATCATGACCTGAACTGAAACCAAGAGTCAGATGCTTAACCAATTGAACCACCCAGGTGCCCCTATTTTTTACATAGTTTTAAATACTTTATAGTGCTTTGTACTTTATTGCTCTTTTATCTTGTTAGGCTTACCTTCTTAATAGGATTAGAAATTCCTAAAGCGCCAAGACTATATTATACAGTTCTTTAATATGCATTTAGTCTACATGCTCAATAGCTAAGAAATGCTGGAAACTCAAGAGAACCTCAATGTACAGAGCTATTATTAATTTTAAAACATTTAAAAGTACATATAAGTGGAAAACATACCTTTTTTGTTTCAGTGCACCATCCTTAGGATGGAGCCTTCCAAACCTGACTATTGTACATTCTTTGGCAAAATCCATGGAATTCTAATGTATAAAGACTTTATGGAATATTGGGATGATGTGGAGACATTCCAGGCAAGACCAGATGATATTGTCATTGCCACCTATCCCAAATCTGGTAAGTTTCTTTATTATGTTAATGTTGTTCTCATCTATAAATTGCAAACCCACCTTGAATGGTAAATATTAAGCTGTTCACTTTTACCACATACATTCTTCATATTAAAGTCCAGATATAGTAGTTTTAGTATAGATATGGAAAAAAGTGGATATTCAATTCTAAGAGCACAATCTGTACCTGTAACTTGAGCAGCACATTGACAGTAGTATTGTTGGCCACTTTAGAAAACTATGTGATATAAATGGATTACTATAGAACCAAAACTAAAATTTTAAACTACCTCAGATCAAGTCTCTGCTTACCTAATGTCACTATTATCATTGTTGTATAAACAGAGTATAAGTCATTTTTGCAAACTTTTAAAAAATTCTTTTTCAGTTAACCAGGTCTCCTTCCTTAAATCTGTCCCCCAAACTTCTTTTTTAAGCAACATCTTTTTTTTTTTTCCCCCTGAGATTAGCTCAACTGTTAATCATAGTTCTGGAGTCTCACAATCATACACCTTTAGAAATTAGAAAGATCCAACCTAGACTTCTCTTTCTGGTTGTTACATTTAACACTTACATAAGTTAAATACTAAGTAGATCTCACTCCATTATTATCTTACTCCGCCACTGTAGGAATTCTTCCCAAACACACCCTGATAATCTCATTCTCTTGCTTAATTTATGTCATTGCCCTTCCAGACTTTTTTTAAAACCTTAAACTCGAATGTGAACACCTAGGCATTTTATGCTTGGCATATTCTTGCCTCTTCAGCCTTCTGCCCACCCGTTTCTTCTTCAATTGTGTCTTCATAATTTATTTCCAATTCTTTCCCTCACCACTGTACTATTCTTAAGTGTCTGACTTTTGATTGGAAAAAAAAAATTCTGTCTGGTAGAACCCTTCTCTACCTCACAAACCTGGTGAACTAATCTCAATAATACGTTAAGGCTAAGTTGAATCCTCATGTTGTCTTGAAGGCATTTCTTGTAAAACCATCACAGAGGGAGCAGCATGCTTACTTAAATTTTCCCCCTTTGCAGTTCTTTCAATTCCTGTGCCCACTTGTATTATAGCATCATAAGAAAAAAGAAGTGTTGTAATTATTGGGCACTGTTTCCAACTCTTAAAAGTGCCTTTGAGCACCAAAAGGCAAAGATCAGATGTGTTCTTTTCTGTATCCTCTGTCTTGGGTCTCAGTTCGAGGCATCAGAAGCTATCAGTAAAATGTGTAGTTGAACCATGCTTGAGTATATCATCTAATATTATTTTTTTCTTATATTTTTTCTTTTTTCCAAATTTACATTTTTATTTTGGTACAGTATTTGCATATATCTATTAGACAGAAAAGAAAGTCCGAATCCTATGCTCAAACTACATGTCTTTGAAGAATAAGTCTCTGTAACACATGAAACACTACCATAGTGAATATATCTTATTTAATTGTGTATTCTTGGCATTTAGCATAGTGACTAGCAGATACTCAATATATATGTGTTGAAAACAATTAATGAATGACACCTCCCTGCTCACATTATCCCAAAAAAAGTAGGGAACACCTCTTCTCATTGACCTGTCTCTTCATCATTTCTTTCCATATTTTTCCCATTTCTGTTTCCCATTTATTCATTCAGCAAATTTTTATTGAGTTCCTGCTACGTGTCAAGTGTGATATTAGCCACTAGAGATATAATGATGAATAAAACACATTTAAACTCTACCCTCTCAAAAAAAATAAACTCTACCCTCTCAGATTTTATAATCCAGTAGGAAGTATAAATCAATTAGATGGCAGATATATTACAGAATGAATGTGCCTTGGTTGAAGGAAGTCCACCAAGGTATTGAGAGAACATATGGGAGGAGCACCTTGCTTGGGGCTCCTCAGAGGCTTCTTAGAGTCAGCAAAGTAAAGCAAAGACAGATTCAGCTCCTAGAAGAGTGTTCCAGGCTGAAGGAATAGCACATACATGGGCATGGGAGATTCTGAGGGCACGCTTACTTTCTGGCTTCTTCAACTCTTTCCATTCTTCCTTCTTGACCATCTGTATTTAGTCCATTCTTCAAGACTTACCTGAAAGCTTTTTCCCTCCATTCTCCAATACTCATCTTTTCTTTCTTTGAATTAAACTCAGCATTCAATTGTGTATTATTTTCACTTGTACAACTTTAGTCAGCTTAAATATATTTATTGTTAACTTATCCTAGATGTCAGGGGATGCCTGGGTGGCTCAGTAGTTAAGTGTCTGCTTTCATCTCAGGGCGTGATCCTGGAGTCCCAGAATCAAGTCTCACATCAGGCTCCTTGCATGGGGCCTGCCTCTCCCTCTGCCTATTTCTCTGCCTCTATCTCTCTCTAGTCTCTCATGAATAAATAAATAAAATCCTTAAAGAAACAACAACAACAAAAAACTTGTCCTAGGGGTCAGGAGCTATATCTTATTTATCTTTGTTTTACCTGATAATGACTAATTAAATACAATACTTTTCATATAGTAAGAATTCAATAAATCAAGCCTCCTTACTTTTTAGATTTAAAAATTTAAATCCCCAACTGCTTACACAATGTCCCAATTCATCATGGACAAATTTGGATTCCTACCACAGCTGTGTCTTACTACAATATTCATCCTCATTTATTGAAGCTATTTTGGGGTCTTGCATGATTAAATATTAGAAGAAATGTTTCTTGAGTTCTGTGGCTATTCTGACATCTTTCAAATAATATTGCATTAGTACATTCCTACTTTGTCCAGTTATAAATACACTACTTGCATTGTCAGCCTGACATGGTCAGTGGAATACTGAGGTTTGTCTAATTTTTACAGGTACAACCTGGGTTAGTGAAATTGTATACATGATCTGCAAAGAGGGTGATGTGGAAAAATGCAAAGAAGATGTCATTTTTAATCGAATACCTTATTTGGAATGCAGAAAAGAAAATCTCATGAATGGTAATGTTTAAGTAGATTTTTAAAAGTAGATTTCAAAAGCTATGTACATATATTTTAAAGTATGGATATAGACAGTGCAAGAAAGACTGTTAAGTAAGAAAGACAATTAGTATTATGTCCTCTCCATGGAAAGCATGTAAATTTAAATTTAAATCTTGAGGTAACTGGGTGATGGGTACTGAGGAGGGCATTTGATGAGATGAGCACTGAGTATCATACTATGTGTTGGCAAATTGAACCTCAATAAAAATGAAAACAAAAACAAAAACCAAACAAAAAATAAATAAATCTTGAAAAAGTTTATGGTATAGCATTTGTCTGAAATAGAGTGAATAAGGATAGCTCTTATATTCCTTCAGTAGAGCCTAGTAATATGTGAGCATTTATCTTTATATGAACTGAATGTGATAATACATTAAAAACTAGAAAAATATCCACAAAATTTTCAAGGATATATACAAAAAGATATTCATCACAGATTCTTTTAATGTTGTGCAAAATTAGAAACAATGTTTTAGTCAACAAAAGAATAGTTTAAGGTAATAGTACTGTGTAAATCATTAAAAATTTTAGGATGTTTTATGTTTCTTCACATTGCAGTTTTGGTAAAATATATTGAGGAAAATATCAATTAGAAAGTATTAAAAATTCCATCTGCATGTGTGGTATTTAGATGGTTCTGAGACTGGTCATATGGATCCACAGTTGACGCTTGAACAATGCTGGGGTTAGAGATACCACATCTCACAGAATAAAAAATCTGCACATTAACTTTTGACTCTCTTCAAATTTAACTATTAATAGTCTACTATTAGACTGGAAGCCTTACTAATTACAAAAATAGTTGATGAATGCATATTTTGTGTGTTATATATGTATTATATACTGTACCCTTACAATAAAGTAAGATAGAGAAAAGCAAACGTTATTAAGAAAATTATAAGTAAGAGAAATTATGTTTATACTACTGAACTGTAAAAAAAAAAATTCCATGTATAAGTGGACTGGTGCAGTTCAAGCACATGTTGTTCAAGGGGCAGCTGTATTTATATGGAAGACTGACTACCAAAATGTTAATAATTATTTTCCCAGAATGGTGAAATTTTATTTTGTCTTATTTTTTATTTACAATTTCCTCTATCTAAACTTTTGTCATGGTATGTATTGTTGTTATTACTATGAATACAATATGGAATCTTAAAGTTAATTTTATTTTTAATATGTCTGTAAAATCCATATAAATATCATGTTTGAAGTTGTATATATTCTTTAATTAAAAAAAAAAAAACAGGAGTAAAACAATTAAAACAGATGGCATCTCCTAGAGTAGTGAAGACCCATCTGCCAGTTGAACTTCTTCCAGCCTCATTTTGGGAAAAGAACTGTAAGGTAACCAGAGTCAAATATTCTTAAAATTTCACATTTGTTTGTTCTTTTATGGAACTGACAGATATTTAATAAGTGTGGATTAAGGTCAGTATAGTCAGAGTCTAGATTTCAACTCCAACTCTAGGGATGATTTGGAAACTATAAGCCACAGCTTCCTCGTCTGTAAGAGAAGGTTAATACCATCTTCTTCATGGAGTTGTTATAAGGATTAAATGAAGTAATGCTTGTTAAGTGCTTAATAAAGTATCTAGTATATTGTTAACAATAAATGGTAGTTTCTTTTGTATTTGTTGTTATTACTAATGGTATTGGACGTATTCCTTTTTGCAAACTATCGTGCGTGGCATAATAAAGCATGCAAGTGAACTAGTTAAAGATAAGCCAGACAAGTGTCATATAATAATTATTTACCAAGTTCCAATCATGTGATGTGCCTATCATGTGCCAGCAACACAATGATTAATAAGACACATGCAATCTTTGTCTTCAAAGATCCAGTGGGGGAAAGGGGCAAATAGACAATGTAGGAGGTGTCACAGGTCAAGTAAGAAGAGAATTCTAGCCCAGACATTGAGAGCAGGGGCGGTATCTAAAAGCAGGTAACATCTCAGCTGATATTTAAAAGATGTATAGAAGTTAGTTCTTATAATCCCAGAGGCAACCGCAGTGAGGATCTGAAACAAGTTCAGTTTAGCTGCAAGGTTGAATGTACACATTGACTGGATAAATGAAAGGAGATAAACTAAAGCTTGACCACAACAGACAATGAAGCTAAGTTGAGAAGTTTGAATGATATTTGATAGCAATGAGTTATAGACCTTTTAAGTTGATGATTGACTTTATCGGTTTTGCTTTTTACAAAGAGTGATACATGTAACCCTAAAATATTAAGTCTTGGATCATTGATGCTGTTTCTCAAGACCTTTCTAGCTTTTCTTAGGATAAGCTATGACCCATATATACTACACATATGAGATGTTGAAGTACTATATGCAGTCATAATAACAAAATAGGGGGCTGGCTTATCACAGTCATGAAACATTTTTACTGTACATTGTGCTCCATAGTTACTTGGTTTATTTGACATTTTTATGGAGATCCATGGTCTGGAATTCTAAAGATTCTAATGTTTCTTGTTTGTTTTTTAACTTTTATCAAAAGCAATTCTAGATAGAACATATACATCTTGCTGATATTATTCCATACATAAATTTTCTTTCATTAGTGAATGCCATTTATGTATTTTGCAGGAGATGTGTAATCATTTTTCAAGAGATTTGACCAAGTCACATTTTTCCTTTGCAGAATGGGCTGTAGCCCCTTCAATTATCAAATGAAAATAGATACATTTGCAATAGTCTTAGTTTTTTTTTTTTTTTTGCAATGTTTACTAAATTGCTTAATCTTCACAAAACTGCTCATCACCTCAGAGATGCATCAAACAAGTGGATTAGTGTCCTGAGTATTTCTGGAATAATTCACTGGGAGACAAGTAGATAGATGGATTGAAACTATTTGTAAAAGTGTATCTGGAGTGGTGAGCCAGAAGTGAGATGTGATTTTTTAAAAGTAGAGGGGAACAGGGATCAAACCAATAGATAAGAGATATAATTGAAATAAAAAAATTTGAGGCCCTAGAATTGTTGCAGGACACGTATATTGGGAATAACTAATAAGGAAAAAGGGAAGAGTAAACTGTCTTGGAAGAATACATGATGTTCTAGAATAGGGTTTCAAAAGTGAAACCTTTAGGGTTTCATGACAAGATTCACAATTTGGTCATAAAAGTGGTTAGCTGAAGTAAAAATAAAAGTAACAATCAATGAATACAAGACCATAGAGAATCAGATGGTTCATGCATGCAGATACTAAAATTACACTGGATGAGGACAAGATTAGGAATGGAGAATAATACTATAAGGCAGATGTTCACATTTTCAATTACAACAGGAGAATGACCACAAGTTTATAAAGGCTTTAGCTGGGAAATGGATGAACTGAATATCACAAGAACAGAGGTTTTTCAAGCGTAAGATTTTTAAAGATTCTATTTATTTGAGAGTGAAAAAGAAAGCACAAGTTGAGGGGAGAGGGAGAAACAGGCTTCCCATGGAGCAAGGAGCCCAAGGTAGGGCTCAATCCCAGGACCCTGAGATCATGACCTGAGCCGAAGGCAGATGCTTAACCGACTGAGCCACCCAGGCATCCCTCAAATGTAGAATGTTTCAAATGGATTATGATCCCAAGTGAATTGTGGGTAAACTAGCAACTTTGACTGTAGGCAAAGTCCTATTTTCAGGAAAGACCTAGATTTTCCTCCAAGACAGGAAGAGCATGTGTGGTAAAAAGTGGGATATAGAATAGTTTCTGCCAAAACAGAGATAAGATAAACTAATGGGAGTTTAGGGGAAGAGGGATTACTTTTGTTCACCCTATCCCATCTGGGGAAATAAAAAGCTTCACAGAGACCTGGAGCCAAGCTTTAAATATGGATCCTATTTTGAGATGTAGAGAATATTCAAGACAGAGGGAAATGCAAGCAGTAAAAATGAAGAAAAGCAAGCAGTAAAAATTCTGAAGTAAATTCATGGATATAGTGGCAAAGCTATATGTAAAAAGCTAATATGCAAAAGGATGTAGGAAGAGTATTAAATTAGGTTGGAAAAGTTCATAAGGCTAGTGATAGCTTTGATAAGAAAAGAAAGTTCACTTTTTATTTAAAGGAGGTTTATCTAGCAGGACCTTAAAATGAGAGCCGTATTTTTTTAAAAAATATTTTTTGAGAGACAGTGAGAGGGCTATATTTCTTAAAATAAACTAGAGGATTTCTTTAAAATTGTTTGACAGTATAGAAACTTGAAGAGTTAAGACAAGCTAGTGAGCCAAATCAAATTCAGTAAACAGTGGTGAGTCATGAGTAGCCTTCCCTGATGGCAATGGGTCAGGTGCCTGAAGATGGAAGTGGAGCCCATGGAGATACTGGAGGTTACTTCTGCAGATCTTTTCCCGCAGCACTGAGTATCAGACCTAGGAGAGATCATAAAGTTCTGGCCCAACTCACTTATTGTACAGAAAATTTAGAGTCAAAATTGGTGCTTTGCACAAGATGATAGAACTTTTTAGTGCCAGATGGGCAATTAAAACTAAGGCTTCCTGATAGCTATTTCTGATTGGTGATTCTTCTGTATGTAATAAGGAAACTCAACAAGATGTTGGTGAAGATTATTTTTTCACTGAGACCAATAAGCATATAATTAGACCCTCAATAAACATGTTCTTCCCTTCTAAGATTACATGAAATTTGTAGCATTAAGAGGAGTTATAAAATGTTTAAATGGCATGAAAAATGAGAACTAGCCCTGAACAACTGTACAAAGGATGCTGTCATGTCAAGTTGCTGAAGAATTTTTCTTCTTTATAATTTTATATATTTTAAACACTATCTACAGGGACTATGTATGATACTTGTAGTTGAAAGCATTAAGTGTTTTCTTTTTACACCTTGATGAGACTACATTTGAAAAAAATTAGTGATTTAATATATAATTTCATCTTCTTAGGTGATCTATCTTTGCCGGAATGCTAAAGATGTAGTTGTTTCTTATTATTATTTCTTTCGTATGATAACTGCTCATCCAGACCCTGGATCTTTTCAAGAGTTTGTGGAAAAATTCATGGATGGACAAGGTAAAGGCAGCTTCTTTTCTCTCAATTCTTTCAAGGTAAATTATACAAGACAAATGACATTTCTGAGCAAAAATTTTTGTTGTCTGCTCTGATCTGTTATCTTCCCTGATCCTTAATTAAAACACAGAAATTCCTAAAGTCTTTGAACTCTAGAACAAGCATAAGGTTTCCAGATGTGGATGGCAAATTGCAGAATCTGGACACTTCAGTTCAGTGCCTAAAAATAAATATATAGAAGTGTGTTTGGAGGTTGGAATAAGAGATTTTTCTCTCTAAGACAGATTCGGTGTTCAATTCTTTCATTTCTATTGGGAAAAAAAAAGTGTTTCACAACTTTACAACTCTACTGAATAAGGGGGCAAGTAAATAGAGAAGAGAGAATGCTCACTTGTTTCCAAGGAAAGTTTCAAATGCTTTATGGGGTCAGAATTCACAAAGAAGTCTGAATATCTACAAAGCTCTTATTTTTTCCACTCAGGGTATAGTCTGAATATTTCAACTAGATTTCTCAAAACCATACAAGAATTACCTGAGCAGAAATTCTGGGAAATTTTACCTTTTTATTTAACTTCAGACTACAGCAACTATTTAAAATTGAGGAAGAAAGTGTTCAGGAAAGTCCAGTATTATGTAAAGAAGGCCATTCTGATCCTGTAGCAATAATTGCAGGAAAATTGATAATAATATCATCTTTATATCCATACAAGATATTATTGATGCATAAAAGTAGAATATATGTACTTTATGTTTGCTGCATTTTGAAAAAAATTCTGCTAAAGCATCATGAATTAAACATATGCCTCAAGATCATCAAAATTCCCATCGTAAGGCAGAGAAAGATAATGTTGCACCTCTGCAAAATGGATGAATAAGATCACTATAATTATCATTATCTCACCTTTTCTGTTAAGAACAATTGCCAATAGAGTCAAAGAACAGAAGTGATAGTTAATGACAATACAAAGCAGAATACTTTGACTCACATAGCATTACATTATTCTGTCAGCATTTTATTGGGTGAAACACTGGGATATGCATGAGACAAGATAAGGGAAGAGAGAGATACAGCATTTCAGCATATCACATCATCTTCAAAATCTTCTTTTTTGAAATGAGAATAACACTAAAGGCCCTGACAAAACATCCCTACTATATAAACTGCAAGTAGTATAATAAAAAATTACATAGTTACTAGCTTTAGTTGCCAAAGCCAATTTGTAAATGGTAAATTGGAGACCTAGACTGAATTCAGATTATAAAATTATTAATGATTCTACTAACTCAACTCTCTTCACTGACAACTTGATTTTACACACACACACAAACACACATACTTCAAAAATGCTCCTATAAGCTCTGAATCAAGTTAATGGGACAGGGATTTCCTGCACTTTTTATGTGTCATAAACAATTTCAGAATGATGAAAGTTTAGAGTAGGTTCCTGCACATGGATTACTCAACAAACTTTGCCTCTCTTGCTGCAGAGAAATTTGCTTAAGATGTGTGACTGATCTCTAGGTTTCATTCCATGATCATTTATTTGTATTTATTTGTTGCTTCTGTTGTTTGAATACTCATTCTCAAGCTGTATAAGGATGATACTATGCCCTTATATTATTTTTATCTCTAACTTTAGTGCCATATGGTTCCTGGTATAAACATGCAAAATCTTGGTGGGAAAAGAGAAAGAATCCACATGTGCTATTTCTTTTCTATGAAGACATGAAGGAGGTGAGAAATTGAAAACATATGGGCTATTGTACATCTGAGACTAATATAACATTTTATGTTATTTAAATAAACATTTCCCAAAAAGAAAACATATGGGCAATTTAGTGATTTCTAAAATATTAGCATTTGACAACACTCTAGATATAAAAATCTGTCTTTAAATAGATAACGCAGCCACCTCCAAATAGTATTTAACTTTAGTAATTATTTAATTACTAAAGTAATTAATTACTAATTAATTAGTAATTAGTTACTAATTAGTAATTAGTTACTAATTACTTTAGTAATTATTTTAAAAAATTAAATACCTCCAAAATGTATTTAACTTTATTTATTTATTTATTGGTATTTAACTTTAGTAATTAAGTCTTCAAAATATTTTTTCTTCTTAGGATATCAGAAAAGAGGTGATAAAAGTGATGCAATTTCTTGGAAGGCAGCCAACAGAGGAGCTTGTGGACAAGATTGTGCAGCATACTTCATTCCAGGAGATGAAGAACAATCCATCTACCAATTATACAACAGTACCAGATGAAATCATGAACCAAAAAGTTTCTCCCTTCATGAGAAAGGGTGAGAAAGTCATGCAATTTGCCTCAGTTGCTATCAGAAGTTACAAGTTGAAATTGTTATAGGCAAACACCTATTAAAGTCTATTCTTGCCTTGTGGACCCAGTTGGTTTTCTTCAGAGCTGTTGCACATTTGACCAATCTTTTTACTGAGTTACCAGTTCTACTGGTACTACTACTACGACTACTAAATTGCTACTATTTCATGATTACTTATTTTTTTTTTTAATATATTTTTTTAATTTTTATTTATTTATGATAGTCACACAGAATGAGAGAGAGAGAGGCAGAGACACAGGCAGAAGGAGAAGTAGGCTCCATGCACCGGGAGCCCGACGTGGGATTCGATCGCGGGTCTCCAGGATCGCGCCCTGGGCCAAAGACAAGCGCTAAACCGCTGCGCCACCCAGGGATCCCTCATGATTACTTATTATATGCAGCATATTAAGAATGGCCAGCAGCCACCCCAGCCTCAGCACTAATACCACACCCTACTAGCTATTATATATAAAGCCTGTATGCCTTGGCAATGTACCGTGTATGTTATATAAATGTATATAATTTTAAAATTCTAATTCTCTTCAAATTAAAATCAGACACTCAAAGGAAAACTCTATTATTATCTCATTCGGAAATGAGGAAATAAGCCTAGAATAATTAGTTTTTCCTTGACCAAGTGGCAAATATTTTTCAAGACCAAGTGGCAAGACCCAAATTCATCAAACTGTACAAATATATACAGTTCTTTGTATATCAGTTAACCTCATTAAACCTGTTTTTTAAAAGATTACATTTCAAAGCACTTGCTGGAAAATACAGCTTTGTTTAGCAAAATATCAAAATACAGTGAAGTGACATTCTATTGGAAGGAGGAATGGTCTGATGAGATGAAAATACAGCTTTGTTTAGCAAAATATCAAAATACAGTGAAGTGACATTCTATTGGAAGGAGGAATGGTCAGTTTATAAATCCAAAGGCATGTAGAGTATGTAGAGTATTGGGGCATGGGTCTACTTGTACGTGAAGCAGAAACAGAATAGAGAAAATCTTGCTCTTTAGACCAAACTTTTAGTGACAGTGTCAGAAATTTTTAAGATAGTAAGAATAACAAACCTGCCACTGGCACCAACAGAAAGCCCCTGAAAAGAAAGTTGGCATATGGATTATATTTTAATTGTTTAGTTTTCAGATGATCTCAGTCTTCTTTTTCATAATGTCCACATGTATTTTTAAGATAACATAATGGACTTAAAATAGTTATCCTTGTAAAGGGCTGCTTTGTGCTATGCCCTTAGACCCTACCCAATTCTCAACATACATTTTCTGTCTTTGGGGGTTATTTTACTGGGAAAGTTTAGAGCTCCTTGAACTAAGGGGAAGGGAACTACTAATTTAAAATACTCCTTCTGCTAGGGGAAGGTTAGATGTGATGGAAAACAAAAGAAAAGGACCTACTAGTCTTGCAGTAACACAAGGTGGAAAATGCTGAGAAACTTACATGTCAATGGCAGCAAAAATGGAGAGAAAGCAACGGATAGGAAGAAAGTCTGAATATGAGTATAGAATCAGATGTAGTTGAGGACAACTTCCAAATTTATGCTTTGGATACCTGGTGCTGACTTTAACCAGGTTATAGAAAAGGACACAAAGAAAACACAATTTTGTGGGGAAGAAAATGAATTTAATTTTGAACTAAGTTGAATTTGAGCTAGTTGTATGGAATCCAGGTGGAAATATCATATAGACAGTTGGCCATGGAGACATAAGCCTGGATTTGAAGTTAGTATGAAGATGATAGTTGAAATTTGGAGAGCGTGGCTAAGCATGGACCTCATCTTAGGAGCTCTAGTATTTCAGGGACAATTAGAGAAGAAAAATTAAGTAGCATAAGAAGAAAGAATCAGAGAAAGAAATTTGCTGGGTCTTATTTGTTAAGAATCAGGACAAATCTTTCTTTGCAAGCTTGAATATACATATTTGTGTGTATATATATATGTATGTGTGTAAACACATACTATTTATGGTATATATTTTATTTATAATTGAAGATTTAAGAATAGAATTTGATCAGGTATTAATGAAAGTAATGAGTATTAGAAAATTTCATAATTCTGGCTAGAAAACGTAATTTTTTTACTGTTTGCTCTTCTGTTATAGGGATTGCTGGAGACTGGAAGAATCACTTTACTGTAGCCCTGAATGAGAAATTCGATATACATTATGAGCAGCAAATGAAGGGGTCTACACTGAAGCTAAGAACTGAGATTTAAAAAGGATTTTCTTAATATACCTAAAATTAAATATATCTAAGATTTCTTCTCATATCCTTCACTTTTTTTCAAATTTTAAATTGTTAGGTGCTTAGGTGGCTCAGTAGCTTAAGTGTCCCACTCTTGATTTTGGCTCAGGTCATGATCTCAGGGTAATGAGATCAAGCCTTGCATTGAGCTCTGAGTGTGGAACCTGCTTCAGAGTTTCTCTCTTTCTCCCTCTTCTCCTGTCCATCCCCCCACTTGTGCTCTCCCTCCCTCTTTCTCTTTCTCTACAAAAAAAAAAAAATCGATTGGTAGAGAACTATATAAAGGATCATGATCAGATTCACATGATTATTAAGATGCTCATATAAAAACAAGAAGTTTTTTCCGTTATGATTTTTTTTCAAATATTACACAAATCTCTAATCTATAAATTATTACAAATCTCTGATTTATGTGAATGATGTAGGAACACACAGATAGTTTGAATTGTCAGAATCACACTCCAAATTCTTTATTTTTGTAGTTACTTTTTTCCATTTAGTAACACATTTAGCATATGCATATATTTATATATACATATATGCACAAATATATATATTAATAACTGTGCCTGAACTTTGAAGACCTTGGGAGAAAAAATTAAAGAATAAATACATTTGGGGTAATAATTATACCTACTATTTCCTTCTTGATATCCTTTCATTTTCTGCAAACTGGCTTAATTTGGAATTTACCTTAGTCTAATATAAATTTGGACAGAACAGATTTCCAGATGTATATCAGTAATCCTAGTGAGTACTATTTATGCTTGAATATCTTGAGAGATATTTATGCTCCAGAGGTCCTTTTCTCCTATATGCAATGTAATGAATATAAGTTCGGTAAAGTTTTAAAGAATGTGATATTTGCCTGTAAAACAAAGCAAAAACAAAAGTAAGAAGAGGAATTATTATTTTCTATTTAAGCACTGCTGTTTTGGCTTGTGTCTCCTATTTTTCTGTATTTTATTGATGATTTTTTCTATATTATGCTTATTATAACACTCAATGCTTCCTTTCTCTAAGTTGGAAGACACACAAGATTGTGAAAAAAAATCAGTGTCTTTAGAATATTACATCTTTTATTATTAAATTAAAAGATAGAGATAAACTGATAGGATTTGTGCTCTTATTCCTTGAAGAAAAATTTAGGGATTTCTCAGCACTCTGCTCAATAATTATAATTTTTCAGAATCAAAGCAATTTTTTAAAAAAATGTGTAACAGTTACACATAATGCAAAAATTGGAGAATCTCAAAAACTATTAGGATTTGGTTGGGGTGGGATGTGAGGTAGAATTTCAGTCTATAAAAGAAACAATTGTTATTATTTTTTAAATATCTATTCTGTCATGGTTGTTTTTCATTTATCATTATAGTTTATAATAACAGCTTTTTAACTGTGTAGTTTGTAAAACTAATTGTTGGTCTTGCCTACGTATTAAAACTAAACAAGAAAAAACTCATGTATCTTTCTGACTTTAGTTCTTTAGTGAACCAATGTATTCCAAATTGGCCTGACTGAAATTTGGACCAATCATATTTCCCCATAGCATGTCCAGAAATATTTGTGACTTTCTTGGAGAAAGAAAGAGACTAGGATCTGCTTAAAATTCAAATAAGAACTTAAAACCCTCTGAGTTCCTTTGTTGTCTTCCCTACCTGGACTTAACGTCTGTGTGAGCTGGAGACAGTTTAGAGCCTTGGACAGCATCATGAGGTGGGGTTACAAGGGTAGCCATTGTAGCTTTGGTTCTGTGCCTCCAGGAAAGCTAGAAATGTCTGATTATCTTAGTCTTTAAGGCTTCCCAATAATTAAATCTCTAGAACAATATCTTCAGGACAAGTGCTAGATTTTTAGAAACACGAAGGCTTGTTGACTGATTGATTAATACCATGTTGAGACCAGAAAGTGTTTAGTAAGCATTTACTTATGAGTATTTTAACTGCATATAACTTGAACCATGCCACAGAGTTCCTTTATGTGACTAAAACACCTGAGAATTCAATTTGGACAACAAAATAAAAAATAGAATAGTACTAGATTATAATCCACATAGATATAAATATCTACAAATCCATACTGATATAAATTAATTGAATAAGTAATTGTGGTATATATATATATATATATATATATATATATATATTAGTAAATAAGGGTTAGAGCTGTATACCCCTAGCGTCTTGCCTTTTTTTTTTCCATCTTCAGAGCCCAGTTGGGTATATATATATATATATATATATATATATATACCCATATAGAAGAATTCCAGCTATTGGACAACTCCCCATTCTATCCCTTAAGTGCAGGATTCAATAGTGACTTCCCTCAAAAGAGTATGGAAAGGATGAAGGATAGGATGGTGTAGAAAAAGTAACTTTACAGTGGAGAAACTTGACAAATACTATCTCAGCTCATTGATCAAGGTTAAGATCTTCAATAATAAGATGTAATGACAGACATGTCCTTGGTATATGATGAAAATGGTTCTTAACTGAGTTGATCTTTCCCCCTCCTCCAAACCTAAAACCATTGTATAACCATAGAAAAAAACATCAGATAAAATCAGGTTGAAGTAAGGACAATACAAAAAATACCTGACCAGTTCTTTTCAGTTTTATCAAGGCCATCAAAAACAGGGAAAATCTGAGAAACTGTCATAGTCAAGAGGAGTCTAAAGACATTACTCTTAAATATAATGTGGTACCCTAGATGTGATCCTGAGACAAGAAAAGGAATTAGACTAACATTTATAAAATTCTAATAAAATATGGCCTTTAGGAAATAATAATGTGTCAACTTTGATTCATTAGTATGCAACAAATGTACCATAGAAGTATAAGAGGTTAATAATAGGGGAAAATGGATGCTGAACATACAGAAACTCTTTGGAGTTCTTTCTTTCCTGTAACTTTTTTTTTCTGTAAAATTCCAGATAGTAAATATTTCCAATTTAGCAGGGTATATGGTTATGTTACAACTATTCAACTCTGTCTTTGTAGCTTAAAGGCAGCCATAAACAACAACACATAAATGAATGAGTGTGTCACCTTTGTTAAAATAAAATTTAATTACAAAAACAAATGGAAATGCAGATTTGGCCTAAGGGTTATAGTTGCCAGCCTCTCCTCTAGATAATAACTTTTCTTTCTTCCATTTTTAGAAGTGAAGAGATATCTCCCATTTTTAGAAAGCCTTGGAATGCATCAAATGGTATATTTTATCTGGAACTTACTTGCTCTTTGTTGACTGTCTTTCAGAATATCTAGATAGCCACATAGCTGGAAGCAAGTGTCTTAGAACTTATATTAAGTACATGAGTCTATTAAGACAAGTGTTGGGAGTTAAAACCTTTATCTTGACTTAATCTGTACCCATAATTAAACATCACATTTTAAAAAAAATTATAAGTATTAAAATTAGAATGAGTGCTACAGGGATTTTTGCCATTTCCTTTAACCACAAATGAAAGAAAAATAGCTCTTCCACCATCAACAAGAAATATGCTCTTTCCTTAAAATCTGAATTTCTTTTACTATGGATGAACAGTCTTTGGTATCTGAGTAATGCCAACTCTCTACTTGTGCACTAGATTCAACTGTCATCTACTCTAGCAATTAACATTTCTCTTCTGTATCCTCACTATTTTCTCTTCTTGCATGATCAATTCCCATCAACAAAAATGTTGGAATATCTTACAAATGAAAGCACTACAAATATTTGCATCTAATATTTTCCAGATATTCCTACATTTTTTCTGTTCTTCTTTATGTTGGAAGCATTAAAGAATGATCTATAATCACTGTATCTAGTTTTTCATTTTACTCTTCTCCTACTGTATCTTTCTGAATGTTTCATTAAATCATTTTATTAAACATTTACAAATACAAAAGAATATACCTATTCATACAAACATATGCATTTGTCTAAATATATGGTATAAAGAATAAAAGCAAAAAGAACACCACCGTGCCACTATCAGCCTAAGAAATGGAGCACTAATCAATACCAGTGAAGATCCTCTGCATGTCTTCCCAGTCCCATTCCTTTATATCTCCTGTGCATATGCAATATAACCACTATGTTTTTTTTTTAAAGATTTAATTTTTTTAAGTACCTCTACACTCGGTGTAGGGGCTTAAACTTAAACCCTAAAATCAAGAGTTGGATGCCCTATCTACTGAGCCAGCCAGGCACCCCACATAATCACTGTTTTGAATTTTGTATTTAATTTTCCTTGGATTTCCTTTATAGCTTAACACACTTGCATGTTAACCCATAGCCTTTTGCTGATTGGCAAATTTTAATTGCATATAAAGACTATCATATTCAGTGTGTTCTTTTGTGACTTGCTTTTATCATGGCTCAATGTCATGTTATTAAGATTCTACTTATGTTGACATTTGAAGCTATAGAACATTTATTTGCACTATGTTTGTAGTACTATAATTACTCATTTTCATATTGATGGATATTTGAGTAGTAGAAAACTTCCTTTTATGCAATAACATTTTGAATATTCATGTATATATGTTCTTAAAAATGTCTTGTTTTTCCACATACAAGTCAATTGACTGGGTTGTCAGTTCTGTAGACTTTCATTGTTTTTTTTTCTTTATTTAAATATTTTATTTATTTATTCATGAGAGACAGAGAGAGAGAGAGAGACAGAGGCAGAGACACAGGCAGAGGGAGAAACAGGCTCTATGCAGGGAGCCCGACACGGGACTCGATCCGGGGTGTCCAGGATCACACCCAGGGCCGAAGGCGGTGCTAAACCGCTGAGCCACCCGGGCTGCCCAATTTTCATTGTTCTTAATCCTGACTTATTTTCTCGCGGATGCTAACATTTATTGTTGTCATATTTTTAATATTTGCTATCTTCAGGGAATAAAATTACATTTCACTGTGGTGGTTTTATTTCATCTTTCCCTAATTAATTATGGCTATTCCAGAACACAGGAGCTCAAGTTCAAGGAGAAGTTCAAGGAGAAGGCTATACATATTGCTGGTGTCATGGCAAAGGGTAATTAGATGGCAGAAGCATGAGCTCTTAAAGCTTCGGTACAACAATGATATCTCTCATTTTTATCACATTTTATATGCCTAAATTCAAAACCTGTGATAATATTTTCTTCCTCTAGAGAAAAATATTCATTTATTTCTGCCATATGCCTAAGGAATTGCCTAAAATCGTTTGACTTCTAGGGATTGAGATGTTTCAAACATTTTTAAGTGGTTTATTTCCAATTTAGCCCTACTTCTTTTTTATAATAATTCACTGTAGCATAATTTCAAACTTAGAGAAATTAAAAGAGTGATATGAAATATCATACACCTGCTTCATGCATGTTTTTCAGTTATTAGCATTTCACCACATGCATTCTCTCTCCTACTCTGTGTGTATACACACCCACCCTCACTCATTTGTTCACACACACACACACACACACATATGTTCACAGTCATTCACTATCACTATTCTTTTCCTGAACTGAGATCAAGCTTTATATAATCACCTTCAAATATACCAGCATGTAATTCCCCCAAATAGGGGCATCTTTCTACATAACCATAGCTACCCAAATCAGGAAATCAACACTGATGTAAAGCCATCATGCAATTCATATATCATATTCGTATCCATCCAAACTGTTCCATCCATTTTCTTTCTGCTCTAGGATCCAATCCAAAATGGTGTGCTCCATTTAATTGTTATATTTTTATTGTTTCGTTAAAACCTCAGCCGTTACTCTGCATGTTCTGTGTCTCACGACTTTTGTCATTTTAGAATGTAGGGTTTTAATTTTGTTGACTATCTCTCAACCTTGTGCATCTCAACACTCAGGAGATACATTCCAGGCAGGAGTAGAACAGAAAAGTTATTGTGACTTTCTCCACATCGTATCGGGGGTATGCAATACTGGCCTGTTCCATCACTGATGTTGACAAACTTGATCATTTGGTTAAATTGGTGCCTGACCCATTTCTCTAGCACAATGCCACCTTTTCTATCTTTAAAATTTTATGGATGGTTTCTGTTTCTGTCATTCTTAATTTATTACAAGGCATTGTAAGAAACAACTTTTCCTTTCTCCTCATTTATTCATTCATATCAACAAGTCCATGACTCCCTATTTAGTTCAAAGCTATAATATAGCATATCATGATTTATTTTGATACCCTCTCCCAGATCTGCCTAGTGGGAGTCCCTTCAAGCTGGCTTTGTGTCTTTTTTATATTTCCCATTATCTTTTGAGAATTCCTTTATTTTATGGCTTATTATGTATTTTCCTTCACTCAACTCTGAAATCAGCTGTTTATTCAAGAAATTTGAGTTCCTTTTAATGGAGGATAAAATTTAGAAAACAAGACCTGGGTGATTTTTGTGCTCCTTGTTACTAAGTTGCTGTTGCTTCTAGGCCATCTTAGTGCATAGCTACCTGACACTGTTTCTCAATATTTCAATCTCTCTCTTTCTTCATATATATATTGATTATATCAATATTTACAATATCAATCCAAAACCCCAAAGATATTGTCTAGCCCTCTTATTTTCTAAAATTGTAAATTTGTTTCCACTATCTTTAATGTATTTATTTGTTTCCTCAATTCCCCCAACCCCATGATCATGCTGGCCACCTTCCCTATCCTTCTACTTGACTCCTGGCCTCACTGCCACTTTCTCATTCTACAGCACACTGTTGTCTGCAGGACCCCAGTACCTTCTTAGCCCTTAGCAATGCTACCACTTTCAAGGGGGGGGGGGGGAGGAGATGAATTTACACTTACTTTTGTGGCCTAAAGTTTTCAGGATTCATTTAAAAACATAGGGTTATACAAAGCTTCCTCTTCAATCCCATCTTTTTCTGGGATCTGGAATCCAACTTTTATATTGCTAAGCCCACAAGGCTCTCAAAAGCTCTGTTCGGTTTCTCAGTCATCTTTTAGAAAATCAGAAAAAGGCCTGTGGGAATAGCAGGGTTCAATTTTGTAGATTTTATTTCTTTTCTATTTTGGCCCAGGATTTTAAAATTTTATCATTAATTCACCAAAGTAAAATAAACTCAAAAGAAGCAGAAAAAAAAAAATT